TTTTAACCACATACTTTGATTTTCTTTTACTATACGGAGAATGGTCGCACTGCGCAGCTTTCTGAGTGCCTTTTAAAAGGAGATAGAAAACTCCGCCATTTTGAACCCTTATTACGTGTTGCCTACATCTTGGCGCAATATTTTTAATAGGTGCGTTTTAATCATCCGCTTCTGCTTCGGAATTTTCAGTTTTCTTGTTTTAATCTGACAGGTTAAAACGACTAAACTGACAATTCCGAAAGCAGAAGCGGATGATTAAAACGCACCTGATATTTTGCTTGCTGCTGTCAGTGTCAGTGATTATTATTTTTGAAGTCACAGTTTATTGCTAAAGAATCAGTTAGCTCACTCGGGCCAGTTGAAAGTTACAAAATAACATCCACTCCAGGGATACAAATTCAGGATACGCAGAAGACTACTGTTTTATTATAGGCGGTTGTCATATATTGTATTATCCGAGTTGCACAGTGTATAAACTGAAACATTGAGATCCAAAGTGCCGACGCAGAGTGAGCGATCTGATTCTTTAGCTGTAAACTATGTCACAGGGTTCAAAATGGCCGCGCCCTATGTTGGGCGTGTCGGACCTCTCTCTTGCCTCGTATAGTAATCAAAGTATGTGTTTTTAACAGACACGTTATTTGTGAACAACCTGTTAAAAATAACACAGGTTGTCAATCATAACCCCCTTTATTAGCAATGAATGGTGAAAACAAAATATTGCAAATTTTAAAAAGCTTTTGCAATGAAGATGATCAACTATTTGGCTTGAATTTTAAAGATTTCAATAATTATAACGCGGTTTTCAGATCGAAAAACAGAAGTGATAAAATAGCTAGTAAGTTTTGTGATGAATTAATAAAATCATTTAGTGAAGTTAAATTAATTAAAATTAAAATGCATCATGATGTTTTTCTTTTTCTAATATGTAAACTATTAATTACCTGATTCTTTACTTAGCCCCTACAGAGAGCGTGCTCTAATGAATAACAAGCGTGTTGTAGTAACCATTATGTGCACCCATCAGAAAATTTTAATTTTACTAAATTAATGTTGGTAGTTATTAGTTGTAGTGAAATGTTAAAGTCAATGGCACTAATACAATAGATAATAATTACAAAATTTACTTTTAAACAATAATAAACGTTTAACCTAATATTATTCTATAATATAATAAATAAATAATTTATATTATATTATCTTTATTTCAACATATTTTATAATATTTATTTCAATGTTTATTATAATAAAATTGCATTATTGGGAATATACATTTATACTTCATTTACCTGTTATAAAATAGGTACTGCTAATTTAAGTAAAAGGAGTATACGTACGAATAATTTTAAAGTTCTGCAATCGAGTAGAGTTTGCAGTTTATAAATACGCCATTGGTGACTACATATTATACTACTTTACAGAACAGAGCGATGTCTGCATCGCAGTACACATTGTAATGTGGCGTAACTTTAAAATATGGTACATAGCCTACTTCGGTACAGACAACCATAGATTACGCCAAGTGATAGATGGGAAACTGAATGGTAAAATTATTAGGTGATGTGGCGCCATCTATCAAATTGGTCTGGTACTAAATTCAATATGGCCTGTAGTGGCGGGCTTTTTAAAATTAAAATTTTCAGTAATTTCCACTGTTTTATCCGAAAAAATAATAAAGACAAATAAAAATGAAATATAATTTGTTTAACTTATTTTAAAGTAAAAAAAGGCAATTTATAGGGACATTTATATTTGTATCCATTAAGTTTTTGGATGAACAGCATGATTTATGAATTAAAATAAAAAACAATGTTATTTTCTAAATTTCTGTTTATTGTACTCTAATGCCTCGATATATAATTTGTCTGATTTTACATGGAAACGACCAGACAAATTATTATTAACACCATTTACATAATTATATATTATTAAAAGAACAAATTTGTTAAGTAAAAATCATGAATGGTTTCAGAATGTTCGCATTCTGTAAATAAAAAATGAATTTTATTTTTACAATAATGTTGAATACATTTAACAACATTTCTCTCATGTGCTATATTTGGCAAAACAGACAGAACTATATTATAGGCATCGGCCAAGCCAAGAATAAAACTTGGTTTACAATACCTTAATTTATTAGGGATATTATGTTTATATTCCTTGGCTTGACAGATTGCATGCCATTCGGCAGATATATCTGTTGCCAAAATATTATTTTTGCATGTTTCACAATTATCTAGTGACTTTACATTTTTAGCTATAAAGCCACTTACATAACCTAATGCAGCTTGGGTAATACTATTGAACATATAGTCATTCACATGAAATGCTGATAATGAGCCCGTTCACTTTCATTTTTGAATGTGAATTAATTATATATTTATAAAGATATTAAACTCTTTTGTCTGGTGGTACTTTTCCCGTTAAGATATTTTTGCTAGAAGTAAGGGAATTCCCATAAAATTCTTTCAGTGACTCATTGCGTTACAAAATCCCTAATTCAGTTCACGTCTCGTATCGGTTATGCTTAAAGACGGCGGGGTTGTCGGAAGTATCCCTAATATAGCATTTCTGCATTTATATATGTAATTTAAATAGTAAAATTCCATTATTTTTCTAAAAATCATGAACTTATATTTTCAGATTTAAAGCTGGGAGCTTATTTTTTACTTTTTAATTAAAACAATTATTATTACTCAGGCTGAAAATTAACCAGACCATAATCAAAAAGTAGAAATTGGATTTGCAATATTTATCTGGTAAACGTGGCAACGTTGCACTTATTTCTAGAAGTGTGTGTCGACAACACTATTTAAGGTGAGTTCGGGCTGCGCACTCCAGCGTGGAGTGGAGTAATTAGGCGTAAACGGAGTGCGAATATGATTTTACTCCTTTAACTCTCGGAGTGCAATGTCAGTTGTCAATGTGACATACCAGTACTTAAAATTTAATCGTACTTATCAGTAACGACCGTATAAGTTTCTTCCATATTAATGATATTCACGGGAACCAAAAAAAAACTTATTTACTAAAGAATCAGTCACAATTAACTTATTATCGATTTAAATCACCTTATGCGCATGCCCGATCCACACTCCACTCCACCATCTCCGAACGGTCAAAGAGGAACTTTTATTTTAACTCCTTCCGTACCCGAACGCCTTAGGTACTTTAGGAGTGAATATAGTGAAAAGAGTGCGTAGACCGAACTCACCATTAGAAGCACTTACAACGTTATCACGTTTACCAGATACATTTTCTCAAATAAAATTTCGATCTGGTAATATTCAGCTTGAGTAATACTAATTGTTTTTATTAAAATTTAAAAAGGTAGGGCTTCCAGCTTTATCTGAAAATATAAACACATTATTTTTAAAAAATAATATATTTTTATCATGTAAATTTCTTTAATAAATGCAGAAGAGGAATGGTGGTACAATGATACATCCGACAACCGCGCCCTTTTAACTATTAACCGATACGAGACCTGAAGGGAATTAGGGGTTTTCTGACGCAATGAGTTTCTTACTATGCAATTAGACTCAGTACAGTGGGTTCAAAATTGGGAAGTACTTGTTAACTAAATCCCCCACTTTTTCTAAGCTCCTTCCTCGATATTCATGCCGTGTATGCTTGCGCCTTTCCGGTTCCTCACTCTAATCATGGTGGTTGAGAGTCAAGGATGTGCGGACTTCATCCCCCATTTATTAAAAACAATTATGCCTATTATTTAGAATGTACTTAGGGTACAAAACGCCCTGTACGCTATAATAGTAATAACCGAGAGGTACTTAGATTAAACTCATTACACTTCATGACATACATAACAATATATATACAAGATACCTACACTCATTACATTTCAATGTGTATGGAGCAATGAGAGGTACTTACGATAATCATTACACATGGGGTATAGTGTAATTGAAAAGTACTTACTATGTAATTACACTCACTTCATGGTTTACAGAGTAATTGGGAGGTACTTGCTAATTGCGTTAAGGGTGGGGGTGGGTACTTAGGGTTATTACTAATTACATCAATTGCCTCTGACCTTGCCTCTGACCTTGGACCAGAACTGGCTAATCATAACTACTAGCGTTACGTCTGGAAACCCTATATATTAATCATATTATTACGCAGTATCCTGCATCGTGTGGCAGTCGTCATAAGTAAACGTATAAGTAAAAGAAGAAGGAAAAATATTCGAGAAATGTCATTCCACGTCAAGAAAAATTTAAACAATTCGAGAAGGTTCGAGAAGGTGAGAGAAAGCCATAAAAGTCCGTGATTCTGACGTCAGGCAGCCAGTTTTTTTGATAGACATTATACGTTAATGTTATCAGTTGTATAGTTATTGTAAAAGTAGAGTTGAAACATTCCTTTCTTTTTACTTGTTCTAACAGCTTACTTTCTAGAGCTGCAAACTTGGGGGTTCATAAGAAAGTTGCTTTTAATGATCTAAAAAATAACAAACTAAACTTTGAACAAATTTAGACAGTACCCAAAAATAAATATAACAATTACGGGGTCCTTTCTGTTATTATTTCAGTGCTCTCCCTTAACGTTCCATCGCGCCTTACCAGGGGGTTGCCCCCCAATTTGGGAATCACTAATCTATTGCATGAGAATTATTATGATTTTCGTCGTAAAAAATACCAATTTGATAATATTTTGGAAATAACAATATTTCTAATAAATTGTTTTACCTAATTGTAAAAAGTTTCAGTTTGTCCTCTAAGCTTTGTATTCCTCCATTTTTCTGCAAAGATTTAAATACAACTAAACCAAAATTGCCATCAAAAATATATATTCGATACCTTTTAGGAAAAATACTTATCTTCACACTCTTTTCTTAAGATGTTGTGACCATTATTCCAATTAAACAAGAAGAACCCTTAAATTAATTAAAATGTCTAAATTCCAATACAAATCTACCAACAAACACTAAAATTATAGATAATAAATAATAATTGGGTTATTTATGTTGCTATTTTTAG